AATCCGGATGGATCAAAGACCTCGACATAAATCCAGCCACACTGTACATCTTAGAAGAGAAAGTGGGAGGTACCCTTGAATGAATTAGTACAAGAGACTGCTTCCTGAACATAACTCCAGTAGCACAGACACTGAGATCGACAATTAATAAATGGGACCTCCTGAAACCGAGAAGCTTCTGTAAGGCAAAGTACACAGTCAACAAGACAAAAAGGAAACCCACAGAATGGGAAAAGATATTCACTAATCCCACATCTGACAAAGGGTTGATCTCCAAAATCTACAAAGAACTCAAGAAGAAAGTCTTCAAAACAACAAAGGATCCAATTAAAAAGTGGGGTACAGAGCTAAATAGAGAATTCTCAATAGAGGGGTCTAAAATGACTGAGAGACACTTAAGAAAGTGCTCAAAATCCTTAGCCATTAGTGAAATGCAAATCAAAACAACTCTGAGATATCATCTTACTCTTGTCAGAATGGCTAAAATCAAAAATACCAATGACAGTTTATGCTGAAGAGGATGTGGAGAAAGGGGAATACTCCTCCACTGCTGGTGGGAGAGCCAACTTATACAGCCACTTTGAAAATCAGTTGAAGATTCCCCAGGAAAATGGGACTCAGTCTACCACAAGACCCAGCAATTCCACTCTTAGGCATATCCCCAAATGATGCACATTCACACAACAAGGACGTCTGTTCCACTATGTTCATAGCAGCATTATTTGTAATAGCCAAATCCTGGAAGCAACCTAGATGCCCCACAACTGAAGAGTGGACAGAGAAAATGTGACACATTTACACAATGGAGTACTACTCAGTGGAACAAAACAATGGAATCTTGAAGTTTGCATGCAAATAGATGACACTAGAAGAAACTATCCTGAGTGAGGTAACCCAGTCATGAAAAGACAAACATGATATGTTCTCACTCATATATGAATTTTTAGACATGAATCAGGGGAGTGCCGGCCTACAATCCCACTGCCAAACCTTTATCCAGCGACTGATGGAAGCAGAGGCAGATACCCACAGCTAAACACTGAACTGAACTCCTGGAACTCAGTAACAGAGAGGGAGGAGTGATAAGCAAAGGGGTCAAGACTGTGTTGGTGAAACCCACAGAGACAGCAGACCTGACAGGGGGGATCTCTTAGACCCCAGACTGATGACTGAGAGGCCAGCATGACTGATCCAGACTCCCTGAATGTAGTGTCAGTGAGGAGGCCTCTGCAATCTCTGGGGCCTTGGGTAGTAGATCAATATTTACCAAGGCATACGAACGAACTTTGGGAACCCATTCCATATGGAGGGATGCTCTCAGCCTGGACACATGGGGGAGGGCCTAGGTCCTGCCCTGAATGAAATGACAGACTGATGATCCCCCCCCCCAGGTGGGCCTCACCCTCCCTCAGGAATGGTGTGGGGATTGGGTAGGGAGCTGGTAGAGGGGTAAGGGAGGAGGGGAGGGAGAGGGAGCTGGGATTGACATGTGAAGCAAGCTTGTTTCTAATTTAAATTAAAAAATTATATTAAAAAAAGAAGCCTTACCCAGGAGAGAGGATCAGAGGTGGGGTCAGCAAAGAGGGTCAGCTGAAGCCTTGAAGACCATGGTTAGGGTTACCTCTGCCTCCAAGAAAACAGAGAGGTGCCTGACCCTCAATGGCCCAGGAAAGTGAGCATCCAGGAAACTTACCAATTACCACTATTGGATGAGGTGCCAGCAATCAGTGAGCTGGAATGAGAGCCTGTTGCTTGTAAACTGTAGATAAGGGATAGGGTCCTAGTGTGACTTAAACACCTAAGGGGACAGCACGCAGATACCAGGATATCCTATCAAGTCACACACCAACAGTGTTAGGGCTTCGCAATGGAAGTAAGAGTCACACACACAAAAGAGATTTATTGGGATTTGGGGAAAGCAAAAGGCTGCCTTTGAGTGGGGATGAGAGAGACAGAAACAGAGACTGACAGAGAGACAAAGCAGGGCTGTGGGGTGGGGAGCTTTTAATGGCATAGTGCATGCACATAGGGAGAATACGAGATCCCTGGCAACAGTGGAAATGTGTCTCATTTGGCAGCAGGTGATGGTGCCAAGTCGCTGAAGGCAGACTGGAGGGAACACCTAGTTTCTAACACTTACAAAGGGTGACTGTTGGTTAATTGAAAACTATATACTGCTTAGCACTGGGAGAGGAAAGGCTTATGTGGAACCCTTTCCTGAGTCTGGAGTTCAACCTCAGTTAGGAAGTTAATTAACACCCTGAATTACAGAAGCTTGCTCCTTTGTCCAGGCCAGAGTGAATCTGTAATCCACATATAGCCAGGATAATGTGGAGTGTAGCTGATTACAGCAGATGACAGGGCACATGGAAGCCAGAAGGCGCTGTAGTGCCCCACTTTGGTGCCTCCACCGTGTTTACAGGCAGGAAGTTTTCTGAGCGCTGACTTCTGTGTTCCTAAAAAGAATGTACGACTGGGCATATAAGGGAGTGACATCTCTCTTGATGCCCTTACCCCAATGACACTGACCCATCTTTCAACCATTGGAAACGGTAGAGGAGCCTTTTGCTTTGGAATCTCAGCACACTTTGCTGAGTGTGCTAGCATGCTGAGTAGTTGCCGCTGCAAAGACTTGGCAAGGCTTTGATCCCATACTTTAGTGCACATTTTGCAGGGTGAATTGTGAGCAAGGGTGAGTGTGCTCCTTTGTTTACATATTTATGCCTTGGAGGTCTTCTCCAGAAACTTTTCTCATCCCCTGTCAGTACCTTGTGATTGTCTTCCTTCCATTGGCATTTTGGGTCAACATAGTTGTTTGGCAGAGCTGTCCTGTGTATTGTAGTGTGTAGCAATTTTCCTTCACTAATTGCTAGGCACACAGACAAGTTTTGACAACCAATAATGTCTCCAGACAATTACCCAATCTCCTTAAATTAAATCTCAAATCTTACCTGGTTGAGAATTAGCCTGTTTTCTGGTTGGATGTTTACCCTTCACTCTCCTATTGGAATCCATATAAATCTATTTTAATAGTTTTCTTTGTGACTTATTTTGCATGTCTTGATACAGGATCTTCCTATGAAGTGCTGGTTGGCCTGGACCTTGCTATATAGATTAGGATGGCCATAAACCTGTAGTAACTCTCATGCCTTTGCCTCCCAAGTGCTGGATCACAGCTATGTGACACCAAAGCCCAGCTGTGCCAGAAGGCTTTTTGTTTGTTTGACAGGATCTCAAGTAGCCTAGCCAAGGTCTCCCATGTGTTTTCATTATGAAAGTATGCCATCATGTCTAAGTTTGATCCCTGGAACCCATGGTAGAAGGAGAGAGCATACCCCCAAAAGTTGTCCTCTGACCTCACATGTACAATGTGGCATGTGTGACTGTGCTCACACACAAATCACACACAATAATAAATTAAAACAAATAAGAACTTTGGACATTTCTCCAGAGAAATCTCCACATACATAAATGGCCAGCAAGCAAATGAAAAGATAGTATTAGTCATTAGAGAAATGCAAATAAAAACCACATTGAGTTACTGCCTCATACCAACTAAGACGATTGTATCAAAAAAAAGGCCAGGTGGTGGTGGCATACACCTTAAATCCTAGCACTTGGGTGTCAGAGACAGGTGGATCTCTAAGAGTTTGAACCCAGCCAAGGCTGCATAGTGAGTCTCAAAAGAACAATAAACAGGGCAGAAATGATTAGTTCTGGCAGTGGCAAACATGGATTAGAACTTCTTGACATTGCTGGTAGAAATGGAAAGTGGTTCAGTTACTTGGGAAAATAGTTTGGCAGTTCCTCAAAACAATTGCCATGTATCAGCTAAACAGTTTTGCCATAAGAGGCAGGGATTTCATTCTTATGTTCACCAAGAGAATTGAGAACATACAGTCATACAAAATGTGTACACTGATGTTCTCAGTAATGTGATTTATGATAGCCAAAAGTAGAAATTACTCCAAAATTTATAAGTTAACAAAATCTTATAACTCTACCATTGGGTGTTTATTTGATCATAAAAATAAATGAAACTTTTGGACATAGTACAAGAATGAACTTTGAAAACATTTTGTTCATATACATGCATGCATATATACACAAAGTGCACAAGAGTGCATGATTGCATTTACAATAAGTGTTCTGACCTCTGAATTTATTTACAGACTGTAGATTTTTATTCAAACTTACTAATGTTGTAATTCAACCTGATTTTTTTTAATTCTAATCAGTATGAAATTACACTGCAATTGACAGTACTTCTGTATTTTGTTTCCACCCATCTCTCCCACATACTGTGATTTGAGCCAAGGGCTTTGTACCTGTTAGGCAAGCCAGCTCTACCATGGGGATTACATCCCTTCTTGGTATTTTTCTCTCTCTTTGTGAAGTTCACACGGAGCCCAAAGGACACTCAGTGTCAGGAAAGCCTTTGCCTAGAATAAAGAAAGTACTTCATTGTCTGTAGCCTGCCAGTTAGGCTAGGTGACTGGCCAGGGATTCACTGTCTCTTCCTCTGCAATGCTGGGATTACAAACAGGAACCAACATGCCTGACATTTCTCCTTGGTTCTCATGCTTTCAAGTCATGTGCTATACAGACTTTGCCCCAGCACCAGGTTGCACATTTCTTTCAGAAGCTCTTCTAAACATTGATTTCTCTATATAAGTGCTGGGTAATATTTAAATTATGCAAATTTGTTCTAATACAGATTATCAGCATAAAAATGAAGAGTCATTCTTTCTCTCGGGCTGGTCTTTGCCTTTGTAACACAAGTAGTCACATACCTCTTTAGGGTTTCTCTTGAGAGAAAAACTGTTGTAGAAAGATTAATTTCATATCTTGCTTTATGTTAATATTAAGAGAAATAGTTTGTAAACCACTCTATTTGCTTTTCAGAAACATTTGAGAGAATGTTTAGGACTTTCATGTCTTCTTCTGAGCTAGTCTGTTAACGATGTTCATTCTTAATAACAGAATTTATATCATTTCAGACAGATTTGACCAGTTTTGGGCCATCAACCGGAAACTCATGGAATATCCACCCGAAGAAAATGGATTTCGTTATATCCCTTTTAGAATATATCAGGTAGGAAATAACATTATGAAAAATACCACTTTTTAAAAGCTTTGGACATTGTCTTGAAACACTGTGTCTAAAACTCTTCTGTCTATATGGGAACCTACTAGTATCTGGGTTTGCATCCAGGTTTTTCAGAACCTTCTTTTGCTGGTAATGGAATTGGAGGTTGTGTTGCAATGTCTGACTCATAGTTGCTATTGGTTATATCTAATGTACTTGCTGATTCAGCCATTTGCTTCAATTTATTTGTAACCCCTAAGTTAATACTTGAAGCACATTTGAAGTCTTGTTTGTTTTGCTGAGACAGAGTCTCAGGGAGTACAAACTGACCTGAAACTTACCTGGTAGAGGCTGGCCTTGAACATCTACCTCTGCCTCCCATGGACTGGGACTATAGCCTCCTGTCTGGTTTTAATACTGGGAAGCCAGAACTTTGTGCATGTTAGGCAAATACTCTATCAGCTGAACAGCATCCCAAGCCCCAAGGTCTTTTTTTATTAGATTTTTGGAAATGGTCTCCCACAGCAGCCCGGCACCTTGAACTTGTAGTTCTCCTACCACAGCCTACTCAGTACTGGGATTATATGGGTATGAAGAGTGTTAAAGCTATTTGCCTGGTGTGTATGTCCTTGCATAAAAGGAACAAACATCTACCACGTTGTAAGCAAACATAGCATAGTTCATAGTTGATTTAATACTACTGCTTTTCTTCTTGTTTTTATTGATTTTTGCTGCTTGAGATGGATCCTAGGCACTGTGCTTCCTCTGACAGAAGCGTCAATAAAGCATGGTTTTGTTGGCTGATAAACTGATAAAGGCTCAGAGATCTCCTGCCTCCCCAGGAGCAGTGGCCAGTGTCTGCTACTGCATCTGAGGAGGGTCAGCCTAGATGGGCAGTTCCCCTCGGTGTTGTCAACAGTGCCTTGTGCTCAGTCTCACAGCAAGCTCACATGAAGTCAAGACAAGATTCTGTAGAGTACTTTCAGAATCCTCTATGCTTGCCATATGGCAAATGGGAACTGTGTGTCCCTCGAGGTCTGCAGGTGTAGGTCAGTGCTAGACATACATGAGCCCTCGGGTTCAGTTCCTGCACTGTAAGAAGCTGAGTCTACCGACTCAGAGGCAGGGACCTGCTGTATTGTAGAATCTCTCAATAGCAGAGATTGAAAGCACAAAACAGTACCCGGCAATAGCAATGCAGGTGTTATTCCCAGGGTTCCTGTTTTTCACAAAGGCAGCGCTAAGTTCATGCTTTCAAACCAGTGTCTACAAAAATGCCCTGAGTGTTAACTCTTCTTTTCATTTTTCATATGCCATGACCCCTTAGTAACTTACTAATCAGGTATTTCCCAGCCTCACAAAGTACCTTATTGTGGGACATAATTAGATAAATATTCCATATTCTCTGAAGACATCACCATGAGAAGAGTTCCACAGTGCTTTGAATTGGGGCCCCACAGTGCTGTTGTAAATTGTTTGCTTCTGGCCTGTTTTCTGCATGATACTATAGTTTCTTTGTTGTGAGCACTGGATACTCCTGTAGGGAAAGTTTGTGCTTAGTGTAGGGATATAGTTGTCCCAGTAGTGCAGGGTTATTCTCCTGTGCTTTGGTATCAGAGTATAGAAGAATTCAGTGTGGAGAGGAGTATGAAGTGCATACGTGTGTGGAGAGAAGGGAAGAAGTTGTTGTTTTGGAGACAGAGTTTGCTTTGTAGACTACACTGACCCTGAACTCACAGGCTTTCGTGCAGTGGTGTTTCAGGTGTGTATTACTGCCCCAGCTTGAGAGAATGGTTTTTATAAATTCTGTCATCAGATAGAAAGTGGGAACTTAGAGAGTTCTCAGAACTGACTCCATTAGACCTGGCTGCCAGATGGAGGCTGTGAGAGCCCAGCTTCCTGCAGGCCCTTTCCTGTGTGGGGGCAGGGGAGGAGCAGGAGGCTTCATTGTTTCTGAGTTGCTTTACAAGCTTTTCTTCCTTTCCATTTTGGTTCTGTTATGAGTCTGAATAAACTTGTAGAAGTTTGGTATGTAAGTAAATACCAATATTTTAGACTTACAGTTTTTACTAATTTATTGTGTCTTTGCTTGCCTCATTTCTCTCTTGCATTTTTAAGTTTCCCTTTATTCCCTAACCAAAGGGAAATAGGGCCTCCATTTCTTTTTCCTAATTATGTTCTAGTAGTAGCATCAGATTTTGGCTTCCAATTCCCACGTATCTGTGTGACTGTAATAGTCTGCTTATTTGGTGCAGGTGTTATGTATGCAACATTTAGTTACCACTTAACTAAACATCTCTCTCTCTCTCTCACACACACACACACACACACACACACACACGTGCGCGCGCAGAGGAGACCTTGCATTAGTAAGATCACTAAAGCCCAGAAGCCCATGTTTAATAGACAAATGAAGAATAATTTTTTACTAAATATAGTTCATTCTGAAGAGATTCATGTCACTTCCTTGGAATAGTACAAATGAAATGTAGAATTAGCACCCACACCTAGTTCTGAAATGTCAACAACTTATTTTTTGTTTCTAAATCAAATAATTGTCACAATGAATGAGATAAATGCAGTTTGACCAGATGAGCCAGTAGGAATCTGAACTTCTGTGACTGGTGATAAGTCTTCACATCCTGGGCTTCTGTGAAGATTGTTTAGGTGCTGTTTCTTTTTCATGTGTGATGATGTTCATCACAGACAGAATTTTATGGTAAGTCAGACCATCCAGAATTCTCTAGCGTTGTTACAGACTTTGCTTCTGCATTTACATAGTAGTCAGTTCGTGAGTTTCGGGTCTGTGTTCCTGAACTCCAGGTGCTTCGTGTGAGCCAGTGTTCTAGAAATGAGCTTAATGTCAAGAGATGTTTCCGACATGTAACCGAAATGTTATGTAGAATTGCATACATAAACAGATGGTGACTAATGAGGTTACCCACCAAGAAGCTTTGTAAATGGCCTTGAAGTCCCTGGGTATGGGAGCTTCTGCTGAAACCTTCAGACATCTATGTTCATGCTTTGCAGTTAGGTGTGTTGTGAGGATGCTGTGTCTTCTTCTCAGGAAGCATAGGATATATAATTGTTCCTCTGCCAGTGGAGTTCAGTTAGAACACTCTAACTTGTCTTCTGTGGCATGTTCCATCCTGAGCTGTGCACTGAGAGTCAGGTGGATAGTATTATATTATATTATATTATATTATATTATATTATATTATATATATTGGGCTGATATTACACTACACTGCTTCTAAACTTTTAGTAAAAAGTTTAAAGGAAGCTAATGAGTTAAGTGTACAGCTAAGTATAAAACTACAGGTGTGATTTCTATGAAGAGGAGAAATTCATCCTGTGCTGTAAATCAGAGGCAGTGGGTGGGTTGGTTCTGTCTTCTGGGAGGGCAGAAAAGACCTCCTTAAGGAAGTGATGCATCCCAGAACTGAGCGGAGGTGTTGGACTTAGGATAGGCAAAGGGACACGAGGAGGACTTGTAGGCAAAGGAGAGACACTGACTTATGGAAAGTCTGTCAGGCAAGGAATAAGGCTGCATCGAGGATTTTCCTCTGTCCAATAAAGAATAGGAAGTCTTAAGGGATGTCTAATAATCTGAATAGCTGCTAGTCATGCTTCAGCATCATTTAGTCACTTTGTTCTGCAGGGTGCTTGAGACCCTTCTTAGAAATAATAGAACAATGTTATTTTAAGTTTTAAACAGTAAAGAAAGGTTAATAAATAGTGCCTAGTTTCTAAGGAAATTCCAATGATTTCTGCTTGTCTTTACCAGCTGTTAAAGCAAAGTTTGTCAAGGTTTCATAATATCCAGAACTCTGTTCCCCTCCCACTATTCCAGTATAAAGTCATTTTAATATACCACTAAAGCCTCGTTAGTGTTTTAATTTGATTGAGAGGTTTGCTTGCCAATTTTACTTAGGCAAATCTACTCCCCTTCTCTTGTAGTGCACTGGAGCCTTTAAGAATGCTGCAGTTAAGGGATTTAGGAGAGCATGATTGTAACCAGAAACTAGATTGGCTGGGACTAACCTGTTGCTTCCTAAACTGAGAAGGGGACATATTTCAGACGTCGCTGTATTTTCTGAAGTTTCTAACAGAAATGTGTGACAAATGATAACAGTGCCTTTTAGGATTCTTTTCCTCCAGGGTTATTGCATGGTAGTAAAATGTTACATTCCTGGTCTCTTATATTTCAGTTGGCATTTTGTTATTACCTCAGGCCGAAAAAGCTAGAGACAAAGAAGAGGGGCTTATTGATTAATAAACTGTATAGTTTTTAAACTTGAGTTTTAACCCATTTCCAAAGAATGTATATTATAATTTATAATGTGCTTTTGGGCTATAGTTTGTTTTCTCCTACTATAAAACTATCCTTTTCCCACAAGCCCCTTCTACTTTGTGTTAAAGTAATTTGGCTACTAGAATCTATTTCTGGATGCGCCATATAGTTTTTTTTTCAGTATCCTAGTTCATGGTTATTTTGCTTGCATCGTTTTTTTAAGATTTGTTTTATTGTATGTATTTGTGTGTGTGCCCTGTGTGCATACCTGCTGAGGACAGAAGAGGGCTGGGTCTGGGGCTACAGGCAGTTATAAACCACCATGTGCATGGGAGAGGACACAGGTCCTCTTAAAGAACAGCCATGCTCTAAAGTGCTGAGCCAGCTTTCCAGCCCCTCCCCCCATTGTTTTTATTTAATTTTAGCTTTCAATTTCCAATTAATTGTGACTCAACTTACATTTTCTTTTGCTTGGTGGGTTGGGAGTGGTTCATATAGCCTTGGCTGGCCTTGAACTCACTATGTATTATGTAGGTCAGGCTGCCCTTAAACTCAATCTTCATAAGTGCTGTAATTATAGGCATGAGCCAGTATGCTCAGCTCTGTTTCTTTAGCTTCATTATTTCTGCTATTTAGTAAAATGCATTTTCCTACTTTCCTCTATTTTCACTTTGTTTTCCTTTATTCCTTTGTTTACATTTAAATAGTTCTG